TGGGATACTGACTCTTTTTTCACATCCAGTTAGACCCGTTCACATTTTACGACTGTAATTTCATATCAGCTTAAACTTGCTATATCACAAATTGCTGCTACACTGTCTGCCCAGCTAGCACTAATTTACCAAAACATTCCAAAATCCTGTCCTTATTTTCAGACCGTACATTTCATTTGCTTGCCCACCTCCAAAACCTCCAGTAGAGAATCAGTCGTTGAGTGAACTGTGTCACGGTCCTCCATTTTGAGCCCGTAAGGTCGCACCAACCCTGTGTGAGTCTGAGGAAGAAGGGTTACACTGCGTTCTTTTTACTTTTGTCAATTTGTCCTTTCCATTTTTTACCCTGTTCCAATCGTGGGTCCTCTCTCAATAAGCACTTAAGACATAACCTTGAATGCCTCTGTCGCCTAATTGCCAACCGTACAATTAATCACAATATGAAACTGTTTAAGGACATTGCTCAGCTCCGAAACAGGCAAGTGACAAGTGTGGAACTGGGAAGGTTTGTCCATCCTTTTTAACAACAAAGTGTATTTAATGCTGTCTTCATTTTTGACTAATTTTCACATGACTAATGAAATGGGTTTCAACTGAGTGGATTTCTTATAATTAGGCTTTCACTGTATTGAATGGTTGTTGCCAAGTCAATAGATAACGCCGTATTTTAAGATATTTAATTACATTTTAATCATTTTGAAGTAGTGATGGGCGAATGGAGCCTCGTGAAGCATTGACACCTCAGTCGCAATATTGTCTGAAATGGTTCGACGTGTCTGAGGCCGCGGAGAAACACTGACCTCTAGTGGACAAATTTAATAATAAGACAATACTTGTGTGCAGAGCATACACCGTACCTAACAACAACAACAATAATAATGATGATTTAAAATAATATGTAAAGAGCAACATAAATAAATAAGAAAAGTAGGTGTTACATTGTTAGGTGGAATTAGATCAAAGTGATCCCAAACCATGGATCGCTTTTTTCCACTTGTAGATGCCATCGAAAATGAAACAAAGGCCAAAAGTCGCCAAAAGTCACCAAAATCACCACTAACGTCACACAATACTCCTCACTACCCAACATTTTTTAGAAATATTGGTGCATCTTTTATACTGTAACAGTTTAGCGCTCGTCAAACCACAGAAGTGCGCTGAACACTCTGAAGCACTCTGAACCAATCGCAGAGCGGAACATTCGCTGGGCCAATGAAACGCTGCGATACACTGAAGCGACTGATACGCAGAGCAAAGCAGTAGGGGGAGGGACAGACACTTCCACACTTTGGTCACGTGAGCGGCTGCTGCAAGACGAGCTCCGAGGCAGTGCTTCGAAGCAGTTTGTTTCAGAAAGAACGAGACGTGCTCCGGAGCTCCGTCTCATTTGACCATCACTACTTTGAAGTAGTCAGTGATGAGCTTGGGCCTTTTCAGAGGTTTATAGCCAATTGTTTGATAGTAAAAGCATGTTGTTTGGACATTCAGACTCTTGAGGAATAACTTGGACTATATTGTCTGGTACTAAATAAAAGTCAGTAACTTTTCAAGTAACTTTTGAACCTTATTATTACTCAAATACGTAAAACCACGGAGCGTTTTCAGTTTATCTCTACATTGCTTTTGGTTCGGTTGGGTGAGTTTGAGCTCCTCGCTGATCTTTCCATACACAAGGGAGTCTTTGTTGAGTTTTATTCCTCTTAATTTGGATATTTTCATTGGCCCAAATTTGTTAAAGGGCATTCCCCATTAGACCACCTCAAACCTTTTGCTGCTGCCATTTTTAAAGGGAATAATCACTGATAATACGTTACTCTCGGTGTATCGGTGCAGTAACCAGGGTAAGAGCAATTGTGCCAAAGACCCAACTCTGCATAAAACTGCTAACCCTGTATTTCAAAATTGTACAAGCAAAAATGATTCTTTCAGTAGTTTGTCAGTTCAAACTTCTGTATTTTTGTAAAATCTTCAGAACGCATTTAAATGTGAACATAAGCCTATTATTAAAACATAAATGGCAAATCTAATTGCAACCACAAAGCTTGTCAGAAAAATCAACAATTACATATTTTTGTTTAGCTCTAATGCTCAACTAAGCTAATTCCTATATCACTGTCAATTCCACCATAAAGCTCAAAAGTGTTTGGATTTATGTTTGAAAAAGCCGTAGCAACTGCAGTCAGAAAGCTACTGAATACCTAAACACATTTAAATTACAAAACAATTCATTTTCAAGTCAGCGCGGTGTTCTCTGAATGCAGCCCCATGTGAATAATTCCACAGGATGCAGCGCTTAGATTAAAAGCCCCATTCCTGCTTTGCCTTTCTTTCCTCGTAAAGTAAAAGTTCGGCTCCACACCTGCAGCCTTTTCATCTATTTCAATCCTAAACACATTTTTCAGCTCACAGAGAGGGGTAATTTCCTGCCTGGAAATATTGCGTGTGGCTTGTGGATATATAAAAGCAAGCAGAATGTGTGTTTTTGTTCGACTTGGAGTGCAGTGCTAACAAAGACAGCTCTTGTTTGGATAACATGGTTTGTAGCCAAGGCATAGATCTCCCATCTCCTGCTGATATCTTCCATTTTCTCTCCCCTCTTTTGGGCCTCTGCGCTTTTTTATGAGTGTGCTGTGCTATTGCTGCGGTAACATGGGTGGATGAGTGATGGTGTCTATTAGTAAACATAGCCCCTATATGTGCCACCGGCCTAAAGATTCAACCTCTCTCTCCTGGTTCTTACCTTCACACCGCTGCTACTCCATCCATCGTCCTTATGGTTGTTTTTCATAGCCAGGCTCTTGCAGCAGAAAAGGGGGAGGCTACGCAACCATTTCTCTTCTGGGCTGTGTGCAGAACGGGTGGAGAATGTCAAACGTTGGGTAGGGAATTGCGAGTGCTTTCAACAAAGGACCAGAGCTCCTAATATGACAGATGTTGCGTTTATTGCAGAGAAATAGCTGCTTGGTTGAGTCGATAACTAAAGTGGTGAAGAAGTTATGTTGAGGTCATCTTAAAGTGACGGCTTTACACGGTTTTCTAATTGTTACTTAGTTTGGAGGGATAATACTTGTGTTAATTTTTATTATAGTGTTTTAGAAAAAAAAAAAATTGAATAAAAGTACAAAAATACAGGAAGTGGCGTTGACTTTCAAAACCAAATACCTCTACCTATGTCATAAGCACACACAATTTGATTTGATTAAAAAAAAAATTCAAGCACACACAAGGGCCCATATTGCACTATTTTCTGATTGATATTGTAATATTGTTTCCTCATCAACATACCTGGACTTGTGTTTTGTTTCATTCACACACAAACCCTGCAAATTAGGCTACGTCCACACGACAACGCTCCTGGATTTTTATTTATTTTTTTTGCGTGCTGAAAAAAATTTGCATCCACACACGTGTCGGATCAATAAATATTCTCATCCAGATGACAGCGGAGCACTGAGTGAAAATGATGTAATACAGATGCCTCACCTGTATGTGGTGCTGTAAACACGATACAGTCAGAGCCACTGGACACACAATACTACAAAGAGCGCATGTGCATAAAGTCCTTCTTGCAATGACGGGGTCGCAACTTCATTGTTTTGCAAAAGCTGCGGTTTGCTCTCCAATCTGGAACCCATTTTCAAAAACCACCACCCGAAACACCAGCTCCAAGTGGACTAAAGGCCAAAACGAAAAAAATTCACAGTTTCGACCAAAAAATGTTGTCATGTGGACGCCACCTTAGACTGAGTTCTTCTCTCAAACTAAAAACTCTTGTGATGTCATGTGGTAATACAGTGTGTTTTTAAAACTCCACACACTTTCACTAGAATCATTTGGATGATTTCAACCCGGGCACTGCCAGTCCCTACTAAACTAAAGGTAAAAGGTAGCTGTTAACTCAAAAATTGCCGCTTGATGACTTCACAAGGGCAATTTGAGCTTTAGACGTAGACAGACTAAAAATAAAGGCTTACTCACGCATGTGTGAATGAAACAGAACACGATTCCAGCTAGGTTTTTGATTAGAACAGCATTCTAACATGGCTTAAATAGCAAGAATCATTTTTGCATAGTAAAGGACGTTTATTGATGCATGTGTTTTATTAATCTAATCATAGTGCAATTTAAATGTTTTGTCCCTTGTTTCCATTACGGTAACAGTGGAATTACCTCTGCATGTGTCATATCTGCTGCCCATGTCCAACCAGGAAGTAAAATGAGAAACTTCACGAAAATCAGAAAAAAAACTAGACACATTTTTTTTGTAAAATCTTAAATCTAATTACTACATGTTAACTATGTTTTAGTGAAATGATTTGTCTAACCTGTCATATGCACTTTAAACTAAGTGGATACGTTTTACAAGTCGATTCATAAGCTCTCTTTTCAACCTCCACTTGAGCACTGTACACTGTTTAAAAAAAACTCATTTCACAATTAGCCTTTCTGTAATTAGCACACCGAGGTAATTGCAGCGGATGCGCAATTAGCGTTATGTAAAGTACTTAGCTCCCAGGCTCAGAGGCCAATCAGCTTGCCCCTTTCTGCTGCACTTGTGATGATGCGCACGATGCATACTAGAACTTCCTCTTCGTACCCTCTTCACACAAAATGGATCAGTTGGGGTCACATGCTCCACGAGGAAGTTCGAGCTCCGTCTTCTTTTCATGTGAATAGTGGAGGAGAGGGAGTTCTCTGTCATAGCAGCCACAGCAGCACAAATCCCCCTGATTACATTCTGGACTACATTCTCCCCATACAGTGAAAACCAAATGTTCCTGCGCAGCGTGACTGACTCATTGCCTGATTGCCAAAGAATCCTCCATCCTCTTCCCCAGTCCTCTAGCATTCTAAAAAAGCCCACTTTCGTCAGCCAGCGTTAGGCTCATAGTGGAGATGTGTGCTAACGACAAATTCGGCTAATCGTGTTTTTATCGTGTCTCCAAATGTCAACATTGGTTTAGCGCTAAGTAACCCGTGTACGTGTTTGTCTGTTTTAGGTCACACGAGATACAACAGCTCTGCAGTGGGGCTTTTCAACCTTTTGGACAGCAACAAAGACGGCAGGTAAATACCACAAATATGGCATCTCGTTCATATCACTTTTTTTCAGTTTTGTGAATAGTTGTTATTTTTATGCTGATTTAAATCCATGCCTCTTTTGAAATCCACAAATTCTCAAATGGAAGGCCATGACCTAAAATGAATGGTTGCATAGAATGACAAAGACTAATTTTGTTTCACTACATGATCTGATTATTTCAACGACCAAAATATAATTATTTAGGAAATGAACTGCTCTCGTAAGGACTGGGTATGAATGAGATGATCACGAGGGACCAACAATCACAAAATAAATTCTACTCTGACTGTTAAACATGCACTATCAGGCAAAGCAATAACATTTCAAAGCAGTAACGTTTCTATTGAGACAACTTGCCTGCAAACCCAATAATTTCTAAGAGGGAAGCAATTTTTTTTCTGATTTGAACAATTCTCTTGCAAAGGTCTATTTACAAAGTGCTTCTCACTCACAACATCCTGTTACCAGGAGAAATAACGAAAAACCAAACAACAAAAAGTAGTTAGGAAATCCACCAACTGCATTTATATATATAGATTTTATTTGATCATATATATATATACATATATATATATATATATATATATATATATATATATATATATATATATATATATATATATATATATATATATATATATATTTTTTTTTATTTTTATTGGTCGGTGCATGTTATCATTGTGCCAGCAAGCAGCTTCAACATAGATATACCCTGGTTAGCACAATAGCTAAATTCCATCTGTTTTTCTTCAGGCAAGTAAGAAAATGAAACATTAAAATTAAAGGGAGAGTCTGGAGTTTTGGACACAGGGCCTCATTTCCTAGTGAGTGTTGGAGACATGTGGAGACACTTTTAAAAATATTACATCCACTCCTTGTATTTGCAGAGGTCGCTGGTGCTAGGCTAGTGCATGTCAATGGCCATAGTTATCCTGCCACTAAAAACAGTCTTACCCACTCCACAAAACACTTGAAGCAAATCTATTATAACACCAGACTGTCAATGTGAATGTGTGTTTTGATAGAACAATGTTTGAAATAAAACTAACCATGCATCGCATGAATCGTCGCATGTTGAGGGACTATTTTCTCATATATCAGTCCGCCGTTGCCAAGCTTTCTATCAGGAAGTACAACTCGCTGCTGCTCAGACATAAATCCTTCAAATGCGAGGCTGGTTTTACTTCTAAAATTATTCTATCACCATAGACATTCACATCGACAGTCTGGTGTAATAATAGTTTTGCCTTGGCTGTTTTGTGGAGTGGGTAAGACTGTTTTTAGTGGCAGGATAACTATGGCCATTGAGTGCGTATACATGCACATCAATAACCCGGTTATGATCGGGTTTTTTGAGTATCCCGGTTTCTTGATGGTGCATGTAAACGCAGTAACCCGGTTTCAGTAACCCGGTTATGGCAGTATCCCGGTTATTAGAAACCGGGTTACTGTAGCTGGTTTATTCCGATAGTAACCGGGTTACTTGTGGCATGTATACGCAGTACCCTGGTTACTGCAACATAAAGTTGAGTGCGCATGCGTCCAAAAGACACTTTCCAGCCTTTCACCACAACAGTAGTCACATAAATAAATTGACCAACATAAATAAAGTGACCAAACGAGTGAAATGACTGTAAAAATAAAGAGCTGCGCTAAACCTGCAAACGTACAATCTGCACTCGTACGACCTGCACTCGTGTGATCGCTGAAAAGCTAAAACATGAACTATCTCCTATACTCTATACGCACGGAACACACTTACCATCATTAGCGCCTCTTCTGTCACAGAAAGAACACACATAATCCACAGAGTCGTGTCATTTAGTCCAAAAGAAACTGATCACATCAGCGGCGCAAGGAGCGAGTTGTTTTTGTCGCCGCTAACAGTTTATGCTAATTAGCCAAACGGTTTTAAGTTTCGTTTCTGTAAAACGTAAACAAATGTGATCAGAGCTGAATTATATTATCAAACGGGCTGATGTAGCTCTATAGTGTTTATGGTTTATATGTTGTAAAGTTGAGTTTATTTATGCAGAAGATTTTAATGAAGAATCTGCACAGTGGATTGTGGGAGATCTCGTAGCTCCTTAGCTTCTTATGCTAAAGGAGCTCACGGTTTGTATTTTTCCTGGTTTATGAAATTTATTTAAGTTAATTTTTGCACCTGCGCATTTGTAAGATTATGTCAAGAAACCGGGATACTCCATTTGATCATATATACGCGGATATGAGTATCCCGGTTTCTCAGTGCGGTGCAGTAACCCGAATACTGACATAACTGGGATATGGCTAATAACCGGGTTATTGATGTGCATGTATACGCACTCATTGACATGCACTAGCCTAGCACCAAACCTGCAAATACAAGGACTGAATGGAATATTTTAAAAAGTGTCTCCACACATCTCCAACACTATGGCTAACTAGGAAATGAGTCCCAATGTCCAAAATTCCAAACTGTCCCTTTAACAACAGTAGACTAGTTGATTTTGACACTAAAGAATAGACTCAAACTAACAATCTATTCAGGAATGGTCAAATTTTATCCAGTTATCTGATTTTTTTTTTTTTCAACATCGATACGTGCTTAACCGAGTATCTAGTTTTGATACTCGTTTTACTTTCAATTAGTATCTGATCTTTAATACTTTTGACAGCCCTACAAGACATTCAACAAGAAACATCATATCATGCCCTATAAAAGACAAACTTCTGGACCTTTCTTCTAAGTTGGTGCATTACATCACTAAAACTCTTGCACAATTCGCTCTCCCAGCTGACCGGTCCAGATATCCTGTCCTTGGACCAGTAGCTTTCTGACAGGCAGGGAGTGTAAGTGTAAGGCTGAAAAAGCACACCTCTCCTAACCATCAGCATGGGAGCACTGCAGGGCACAACGCTCGTCTTTTCTTCTGTCTCCGCTCAAAAAAACTCATCTCCACATGACAAGCCCGGGCCTAAGCTGCTCCCCTGTCCAAGCCTGTTAATTTTGTACACTCAAATATTTTCGTGATTGTCGTATTTTTGTCGGTGTCATATTTTTCGCCAACTTACCATGACTACATGAAGACATTTTCGTCGACTAAGAGTACAGATATTTTTGTTCATTTAAAATAATTAATCATAAATGAACGAATAAATGAATCATGAAATGAGAAGAGACTAGATCCAAGTTTCACTTTTCAAAACCAGAGCCCCAAACCAGACAATAAACAAACTCAACATTCAAGATTTTAACATCTCCCATGAAGCAATGCAGTACAGATTTTTATAGTTAAAATAAAAAATATGGTTTATGGTTGACTCAAGGTAAGGTAAGGTCAGGTAAGGTGAAGCACACTTTATTGTCCACATAAGGGAAATTTGTCTTGGACACTCTGGACACTCAGTGCTGCATAATTTACATTCAGACACTAACACAAGCATATAGGACACGAAATAAAGCATCATATATAACATTATAACGCATAAAAGATCCAACCATAACATTCTGAATGCAAAATGTACAATCATAAAATGGGGCCCGGCCGATATGGATTTTTTTACGGCCAATATGATACCGATAAAATGGGAGTTGGAGCTGCCAATATATAACAGACAGTATGTTTAGTTATGTAAAAATTCAATTAATCTAAAGTCTTCTAAATCTTCAACTGATTATAAAACTTAGGTCTGGCTCTATTGGATTTAAATTGGGTTTGTTTAAGTTACATTTATTGTTATTTTGCTTCTTTGCGGTCATATTTATAGGCAGCAGGTCGGCTTAATGGCATTTTTGCATCACATTCTAGCCAGTAAAGAAAGAAAGTAAACTACTGCTATGGTAGTGCACTGGTAAATGCGTGTGCACCGTGGTACTTAATGCCGATAAAACAAGCAGTAGTTTTGTTGCTGGCTAAACAGCGCTAAAGTTCACTTTTATTTATCGTCAGTATTGTGGATCAGACTCAAGAGCATTTAAAGCAGCACCTCAGTGTTGTGCACATGGATCTATGGCTGCGCACGGGTGTAAACAAGCCCATGTGAGTGACGTGACTCTGGGGGTGCGTTCAGGGGCAGTACGGCATCACAGACTCAGACAAATTACTCTGCACATAAATACTGATGCTGCACCACATATTAGGACATTTATCTGTCTGTAAATTGGATTAAATTGACTTAATTTAGAGCAGTCAAACTCAAATTCGCTGAGGGCCGAAATTAAAAACTGGAACTAAGTGGTGGGCCAAAGATAATATTTACTGAAAAATTTTAACATCTGCATGTTTTCTCTTCTTTCGAGATGTGTAATTTTAAACCTTTTCTTATTAAAATAAATGTTTAATAATAGTTTTGCTTAAACACTGAATCCAGAACAAGCAAAATATAAAATAATAACAAAATTTTAAATAAATATTGTCTATATAGTCTATTTGTAGCCGGGCGGGTCAGCTCTAATATATATTTGATATGATCTCGTGGGCTAATTATAATTATATCTCGGGCCAAGAGTTTGACATGTCTGATTTAGAGAGTCCAAGCTTTATAATGAGGTATAACATGCCTAAACTATCGGCCCAAGCTTTAGGCCAATAGCAAATATGTCTCCAAGTACTCATATCGGCCGATAATATTGGCCAACTGATATATTGCTCGGGCCCTAGTTTAACCTGCATTCAGTTCAGCACACACATAGGGTCGTTTGCAATTAACTATTATGAATTTGGTCAACTTACATGATATTTTTGTTGACTAAAACAAAACAATATTTGACTGAAACTAAACTGAGCTAAACTAAAAATAATTTATAGCAACAAAAATAAAACATGTCCAAACTCAGGCAGCTTTACTGTACTAGTACATCTGTCATTGAAAGCACCTCTGTAGCAGCCCTAAGTAGGACATGAACATGAGCTCCATAACCAAGCGCACAACAGAGGATGTTCTTCCAAAAGGCCACGGGCTTTGGTAATCCGGTTCTCCACTGTCACTGGGTCCATTCTCA